ACTTGATAGATGATGAAATATGAACATTTACACTTTGTTTCTTTTTATCTCTGTTGGTACAAACAAGGTAACAGAGTCCAACCAATCCTGTTACTGGGGAATTGGCAACATGTCATCTTGTATATTACTAACTAGGTAAATAAAACTGTGTATTTAGAGTGTAACCATTCAAAGTACTTAGGCAAAATGCAAATTTTAATATTAATGCAGCAAGTTCTTTTGCTGAACAAAAAAACTTTTTTTTCAGTACATATCAAGTTCAAAAATGGGTCAAAAATCACTTGAAAAGAGACAGCAGATGTGAACAGCAAAGACAATGGTGATGAATGAGAACACCAATGCATTTTACCTTAGAATTTAAAATAGGATAAAGGAAATATAAAATCAGATCTTCGTTCAAAAGTTCTAAATATGGCAGAGAGTCACAAATGCATAGCTGACTGTGCCTGCAAAGTAAAGCTAAGGGACGAGTTGTTAAGTTATTGAGACCAAGTTGGTCAAAAAGATTGGAGAAAAAATACTCATTCACTTTTGTAAACTATAAATTTGTATTTTTAGTAGCAATAAAACAAAAAAATCTTAAAATACAGATTAACATTGAATTTAACCTATTTCTAATTAGTCCAATAATTTTATGGTCTAAGCTCTCTTTTTTCCATGTCTAGGCCATGAAGTAGCTTTGAACATTATTTGAGATCAGACAGAGCTCAGTGTATTTGTCTAGTTATATCTAGATCCACAATAAGTAAGTTATTTGTGCTATTGATGCCTCATTAATGTAGTCACAATAGTTCCCATCCTAAATAACTATTTTAAGTATCAAAGTGACATTTATAAAAACAGTGCAGTGCCAACAAATAAACATGATAAATACTCAACATATAGAAACAAGAATATACATAAGATTAATATTTCTCATGAATATATTATTCTGTGAGTGAATAGTATAAAATAACACATTAAAGTATAAATATAAGTAAATATGTATTTATATAATATTACATTTGATATATATTTAAAATAAAATCAATTATTTCAGCACTTATTGTGTGCTAGATATTATTCTAAAAGTTTTAAAAGCCTAAGTAATTAATCACTGCAAAACCCAATGAAAAAGGCAATTTTGCTTTTAGCTACTAATACAGAAACTAAGGCATGAAGCGATTAAGAAATCTGTTATAATTCATAGCATCAGTAGAAACTATATTAGCTGGCTGTCTTTCTGACCTTCTCCCTCTCTCAAGAATTACTATGATATGATGATGTAGTGAATGTGAATATAATACGATTGTGATTATTTTGAAACATTGTATGTGCATTATCAAATCTTAAATTACCTCATTTCCCTTGCTCCCTTTCCCTGTCTTGCTCAATTTTCCACTCTGCTTTTCCCATTCCCTGACTGCATAAGTCTACCTTCTGGTTTCCTGTCCTTTCTCTCTTATTGTAATTATTTTTTTTTATTTATGCAGGATGTTTTTGGCTTCTCATGTAAAAGACTACATGCAATATTTAACTTTCTAAGTCTAATTTCAATCATCTTGACGGTTTTTCTGTCTATTTTCCTGAAAATGACCTGATTTCCTGTGTATAGCTGAGTCATATATCATTGTGTATATGTTCTCTATCTAGTCATCAGTAGGCATCTAGAATATTTTCATAGCTTTGCTATTATGAATGCTACTGGTATAAATAAGAATGTGCAAGTATCACTAAAATATGCAACCCTTGATTATTTCAGGAATATGCCCAAAACAAGATATGTGTGTCTAATTGTGTTCCCATGTATAGTCTTTTGAGAAATCTTCATACTGACCTCTGTAATGGCTTTTAATTTGAACTTTAAACACATGAGAATTAAATCAGAAAGAATTTTTAGCTTTGCTGTACCCAATATTGAACTCACTGTATTTGAAATGGAATACAAAAAGCAACTCTCTTGGGAATAAGAAAAAAAAAACAGAAGTAAATTTAGGTAATGAAATGAAAATTTCCAACGTTGAAAATGACAAAACATTGAAGGAAATTGAAAGGCACTCCCCTAAATTGAAAAAAAAAATCTTTCACTCTCCAATAGTTTCAATGTAATCTCTACCAAAATACTAATATCACTTTCACAAAATTAATAGAAATATCCTACTCAAATATCAATAGAAATACTGAGTGGAAAGAACAAAACAAGAGGAATCATATCTAACTTCAATATATGTATATTGAAATTAACATATATAAATACATATTATAAAGTATATATAAAATTATATATATTACTACATATTAAATACATAATATATATAATATGTATATATACATATTATAGCCATCGGCATTGTATTGGAATAAAAGGATACACATAGATCATTAGACAGTAATAGAGAGCTTTGAAGTGAATCCCCAAATCTACATCTAACTGACTTTGATTTTCAAATACTATCTAATGCAACAAGACAGTAAATAGATTTAAGAGTAAGATATGAAAGTACTAGCAAAAAAACCTAAGGACATGCTTTAAGACATTGAAATTAGCTGACATTTTTAGACAACATTACAAGAACACAAGAAACAAATGCAAAAATAGTGAAATCAGTTATATTACAGAAAAATGCAGTTCATTAATGGATATAATAATGAAAGTGCAGAGATGGCCTACATTATGGGAGAATATATTTGCAAAATACTTGACAGGGTGTTAATAACTAGGATTTATGTATGTCCTCAAATATCATTAGCACAAAAACAAGCAATGCAAATTAAAAATGGCCAATAAAGCAACAGCATTTACATTCCCACCAACTATGTGTAGAAGTTCCCTTTTTTCCACTTCTTCACGAGCACTTTTCTCTGTAGATTTTTTTGTATTAGTCATTTTTTCAAGGTGAAGTAATATATCATTACAGCTTTGGTTTGCCTTTTCCTGATGTTTAGTGATACTGAACAATTTTTCATCTATTTATTGGCTATCTATATGTCTTCTTTTGAGAAATGTATACTTATATGAATTAACTACACTTAACAAGTGAACAAGGTGTCATTCAATTGGGAGTGGATAATGAAATGGAATGGTATTAAGGCCTAAAAATGAATGAAATTCTGCCATGCAAGAAAAAAGATGCAATTCCAGAATATTGAGTAAAGTAAGCCAGGTGTAGAGAAGTACCACATGAATTTATTCATATGCATAATCTAAAAATTTGGTCTCACAGAAGCTGCGAGTAGAATGGAGCTGAAATGTGTAAGAACAGAGAGAGGAGGGAAAATTTACTTAATTACAGTGATATACATGTAAGAAACTCCATTGTGCTATTTATACAGTAGTGTCAGTATAGATTATGATAATGTACCTGTATATCTCAAAAGGATAGAAGAAATGATTTTGCAAGATTTTGCCATAAAGAAACAATAAATGTTTGATATCAAACTATTTGCCTGACAGAATAATAATATCAGGACATAATGAGAGACAATTGAAGTTTTCAGCATTTATTAGAAATATCCAAGAAACTTATTTTTACTAGAGTGGTCCCAATGTACTTGCATTAGGGATATAGTAATATGGTCTCAATAACTTTTGAACATCTTGTGGTTCTACAGAAATAATTACAGAATTCTAAAAGGCACTTATAACATTTGAATTCTGAAAATAAACCATAAAAATGCATCATTATGTAGACAATTCAATAATATTTGTGCTTTTTCAGAAGGCAATATTATTGATCTCAACTCTTCATGACTCATAATCTTTGACTATCTAAATTTCAAGAGAATTCCTTATCAAAAATAACATCATGTATATAATATATACCACAATAAATTATATATCACAAGAAATTAAGACCTTAAAAGCAAATTGTGATTAAAATACTGTTTTAACAATTAATCATATTTCAGTTAAATGAACAACAAGGAGATAATCTAATTTCCATTTAGGATTGGCTAATTATGTAACAGTTAAAATGCAAAGAAACTATTCCAAAGGACTTTACAAATGACAAAATAGCTTTTGAACAGCGAGTATTTTTCTAATTTTGTGGAGTACATAATAACTTTTAAAGTACTTTTGGTTTTCTGAACCCTCTATATGAGCAAAGACTGAAATACATTCTTACGTAATTTGAATACTATATTCCAAACATCAACAGAACCGTGCACAATATTTTTACCTCAATGGACAAAATTAGACAATTTACTTACTAATGTCATTGAGCTATTTTTTCCTTGTTTGTGTTCAATTTATATATTATAAAAATTCTGTTACATATATTTTTGTTAAAAAACAAAATTCTAAAAGAATATTTCAATTTCAAAGAATGATTATCTAGTGACCAATAATTCCAATAAAACTAGAAGAAAAATTAATATTAAAATAAAGAAATGATGTGGTTGGAGACAATAGAGAAATTCAAAGAGTCAAACCTTCAACAGGGGGAAAGTCAGTTCAGTTGGCTTTTATAAACTTTAACCCTGGAGGTATCTTATATTTCTGGGGGTGCTCATTATAAAGAGTTATAATCTTCAGAAATTGTAAAAAGAGCTAAGATTTCAGATACAGCTAAGGTTAATAATCAGGTAACCCTGACGAAGAAGTCATAGATGGTCTAAATGAGCCAAAATCAAATCACGAATCTTTCTAAGTAGAGAACTTTCCCTGGATACGATGAAAAAAAAAGTGAAAATTGAAGAAAAGTTTAAAAAAATTGTATGTTACTACCTCTGAAGAGTGAGCAAAGGTGTGCAGGTTAAGAAATTTAAGTGGTCTCTAGAAACTGGAAAGCTAAAATCTGATGTTCTCATTTTAGCCTCTAGAAAAGAGCTCAGCTCTGTGGATGCATTGATTTTAGCCTGGTGAGAACAGAGGGGATTTCTCTCTGGGGGAACTGTAGGATAATTACTGCGTGTTCCATTAAGCTGCAAAATTGGTAGTAATTTGTTGTGGCAGCAATAGAAAAAAATAATAGGCAGGAAAGAATTCGGATTATTCCGGAGGGGGCTGCCTCGGGGCACAAACTGCAGGCCAGAGGGTTGGGGAGAACCCGAGCTCTCTGGCTGAAGCCTGTTTCCTTTTCCTGCAGAGGTAGAAGTGAATTGGGCAACAAATATTTGATTGAAAAGTTTGTGGAAAACAGGGTGTATCAGCACTCTAGCGATGGAAGTAGATGGGTTTTTAGCAGATGGTACTGGAGGTTAAGAGGCGAAGCTGTGATCGATTCAGCTTTATACGGCCTGATCTGTTTGGTGAGGAACTGAGATTCTTCTCTCACTGAACCTGATACCCCATTATTTCATTTCAAAGTTAGGTATTTTAACCTTATTCTGTGGGATTCTAATGTTTTCTGTATTTTAAATTATTAGTGCTTTCTGTGTTTTGTGTAGATGCTGGCTACTGAAATGGTCCGTTTTCCTGCCTTCTGCTCTTCTAGTTCTGCTAGCTGCTAGGCTCATTATGAGTGTGAAGATCACCTATGATATTTGACTTTTCTAAATGTTTAATAAGATTTGTTTTTTATGTCTCAGATTTCCATTGAAATGCTTCCTGCTTTCATTTTATCCTATTTTTTTTTTTTTTGCTCATTTTATTCTCTATTTTCTGTACCACATCCTTTAAATTATCTAGAGTGCTTTTCTTCTGTTATCTGGCAAACAACATTGATTTTACAGACTATGTGTGTAAGTCTAGATTCTTGAATGTGCAGTCTTGTCATCCAACATGATGACTTCAAGTAATGTTATCTCTCTTAGGAAGGAGATGCTTTAACCTTCCTTTTGCTAGCACAGGAGAGAAAAATGACACATGAGACTAATAAAGGTCGTCACAAAGTTAAATGTTAGGTAAATCTAATGACTATTTGGTAAATATTAAGTGGTAATGTTTGGTAGTAATGAAATGCTGAGTTTAAAATGTAATTACAGTGCGGAACAAGACTAATGAAGTAAGTGAGAAGGAAATAAACAGGTTTAAATGTATGCTTTTAGTCTTAACAGGGAAATAAATGCAGCAATATTTTGTAATGAATTTAAGTATGTGAAGATTACATGGGACCTCTAGAGTACTCACAAAAACAGCCAAAGCATGGACAATAAACAACTTCACAGAAGAAAAACAAACTAACACAGCAATATTGCAGTTTTGTAAAAAATTCCAATAAAAAAAGAACAACGGAGAAAGAAAATTAGATGTCCCAAAAGCAAAAGCGTAGCTTGGTAAATTTAATTCAGTCACTTCCATAATTCTTTTAAATAAGAATTAGGTAAGTACTTCAAGGCAAATTTTTCAGAACAGATAAAATATGACACATGGTGATATTTGTATCATCTCACATGATAATTTCAGCGATTAGCTATTGTGTTTACTTCTCTATATGTATATGCGCTATTAATTTGCATGTCATTATGGTTCACAGATTAAAATCATCTACATTTAAATTATATATACTCTGTGGTTACTACTTAGTTGATATTCATACTATAATTTTAAATTTAAAACAGTATCATTATATAGTAAATAAACAATAAGGAGAAACAAAGTTTGTAAAATAATTTAGACCTGGGGATTTAGCGTAGTGGCATAAGTTCCTGCCTGGCAAGCCTGAGGTCATGAATTCAATCCCTGGCACAGAAAAAGGATAAAATAATTTGTATCTTTATAGGGGTAAAAGAATTTCAGATTTGTCCAAACACTATTTGTTATAATTTCAAAAATCTTTCTTTTTAACTGTGAACCAATTATTTTGGCCAACACTGATGGATTTTTTCCTGTGATAAGTATTACTGTGGTGCTCTCTTTTCTTTTTAAAATTGCTATGACATTTTAACAGGGGTTTGCTATTTTCCTTATTTCATCCATATTTGAAATAGGAATTATTCTGTATGGGAGAGTTGTTCTTTTTTATCTACTGATGATGTACCATCACAGAATAAAGAATATTCATTAAAGTACAATCCAATTATGATTTTTTATTTACTGCATAAATTGTTCTATCTTTGACTGTTTAACTTTTCTCTGTGTGTATTTTTCTTGGCTGTTTTTTGTTTGCCAGTTTGGCTTTCTGGGAGTACAAGATGATTTAGGCTCATTTAAATTATCACCAGCGCGGTCCAAGAAGTAACCACTTTCCCAGGGAACCTTAACGCTTCCTTTATGGGGAAACATATTCAGAAAACAAGGTCTAGGCACGAGGTATACAGATTGCTGAGGTCATATTCCTCTCGTCTTTTTAAACAGATATAATTAGAAAATTAATATTGACTATAAATATATGTGCTCATAAATAAGTAAAATTATTAATCATATCATTTTAATATAATTATTTGTTTAACCAGAATTTAATTATATGTGTAACTATTTTATATCTCAGCCTCGAATCAAACTCTTTAGGTTTAGTTCTGGCTTTTCCTCTTCCTGTTTACACTATTTTGTTTTCTCATGTCATGTGAGACACTTGCCAGGACATAGGTATATACTTATTTAATCCTATCACATATATAAACTACTTTTAGATTTGGTAAACTTCTTTTAGTTTAGCAAAAAAAAAAAAAAAAAAAAAAAAAAAAAAAAAAGACCCCAAAAGACCTTTGGCTTCAGAATGTAGCATTTCTATAGTTTTGTTGTCTTCAGCATGCAGTATTCTGTAAAAACTAGTCTGCAAATTCACTTTGGTCATCTTGTTTCTCCCCATAGTATTGATAAAAGCTGATGTTTGCATTCTTTTTAGTACATTTAAAATCATTTATCACTTACAGATTCCACTGTGAGCATTACACGTCCTGGTTAATTTCTCTTTAATCTTTTGTTAGTTAAAATTCACTTTTTGTAATGCAGAACTCGATAGGATTTGACAAGTGTGTAGTAGTCATGTATGCATCGCTACAAGTTTAGAACTACATTGCTTATATGTTTGGCAGCAAAACTTTGCTCTTACAAATTTGTTGTACTCAATTTTGCCCCTAAATTCAAAATGCTGACACTTAATAATATGTAGATATAGACAGATATAGATATTAATTATTATCAGCTTATATATGTATAATTCCCTTTACAGAAAACATAAACATCAAAGCATTATTATTTGAGGTCTGAGGTTTCTCAAGCAAACTGCATCAGGTTTCATCTGTGCTGTATGAACAGTTTGTTCTCTTGATATTGCCAATTAGTATTCCTTTATAACAGTGAGTGTGCTATACTTTATCCATTCACTGCTTGAAAGACCGTTGTGTTGTTTTCTGGTTTTCCTGACTAAAGGTAAAGACTTCATAAATATTTTGAACAAATTTTCATTTCTTATGGATTCTTGAATTGCTGGGCATGTGGTAGTTGTAGGTTCAGCATTCTAAAAAACTGTCAAATTGATTTCTAAAGCCTTTGATCTTTTTTCCATTCTCACAGAGTATTGGGTCATGTGCCGGCCATTATTATCACTGTGGACTTCAAACTGGGGAGGCATCAAGCAGTGAGTAAGAACATAATAGAGTGTGACCTAGATCTGAAGATTACTTCAGTTTCTATATTAAAGGGTCACAGTGAGAATAAAGTCACACATTTCTTAATGACAAGACACATTTTGAAAACTGTGTCCCTGTACAATTAGGTCCTTGTGTCAACATTAGAGAGTGTACACACCCAAAACTGAATGTTATGTCTACAACAAATTAAAGCTCTGTGGTGTATCATTTTGCTCTAAGCCAGGAAATCTGCAGAATATGTTTTTTTTTCCCCTGGGTATCAAAATCAATTGTAAGCCATGGGAAGCATTCTTGTATGTAAACACACTTTAATAAGAAGATTCAGTCAAAATACACAATAAGATATCAGAAATAGAGCCCTGCATCAAGCACTTATAATGTATGGAGGAATGGAATTTTCTCAGTGTGAGTTAGGGAGTTGTTGGTGAATGTAAAGGCTTAAGAATTTATTTATATTACTGAAACTTTGTGAACATACAATTATGCTACAGTATTTTTATAAAATTTCCTCTCATACATAATATCTAAGGTTGGTTAACTCAAGACCCAGCTACATAAACATTTTTCTTTTAATTTTGAACTCTTGTAATAACACTGAAAATATACATGTTAGCACTGTACAAAATAATTTTTTCTGTCTTTATTATGAAAACATGCTCACTTTGGCAGCAAAGACAATATTACACAAATATATTGCTATTTTCATATATTATTTTGCTTTTCACTGAAAATTAATTCACAAAACCCTATCAATCAGGTCTGCACAAGATCAGGACTTGGTCTACACAGATTCAGAATCATCAATATATGTTTTCTGTCTTCCACTGCCATATTCTATACCATGTTATAGTCTTTCAGCGGGCAAAAATCACAACATAACTACACTATGGTAATGTTGCCTTCTTCTACAGTACCTTCTACAGGACCTATAAGTGGCTATTTTTAAATTATAATATTTATATAGAGTGAACTTATCAATAATGATTAAAATATAGTTAAAAATAAATCATCAACATAGCTGCTTATGATCAAGGACTACATAATTGCCTGTGCTACATTATTAGTGCAGTAGATATACTCACACTAATTGCTATAAATTTTGAGCAGTGTTTTGCTTTATGAAGTTATGAAATCACCAGTCAAGTACATTTTTTTGCCCAATTATAATTATACAGGAGCATCACCAATAGGTGGCCCATTTTTGACCAAAATTCTTATGTAGTACAAAACTTTATTTATAACTTTAGTTATCCTGTATTTATAAACTTTATAAAGTTTTAGTATAAAACTTTAGTTAACTTATATAGAATTATATCAGAGTTGATCCATACACACAGAACTGGAGTGGAACTGTTATTCCTGATAAATCAAATTTATTGAATGTAAAAATTAGAAATTAGCAAAGAACATTTTTCGATGAACCTGAGTAGGTTATATAGGCATAATTTTCGGTACCGTACATGGTCCCTGAGCTCTTCCTCTCTGTTATTGTTCCCTGATGTTTTCTGGATACCATTAACTGAACGTCTTTATTTTGCCACACTGTTTCATCATGAGGTTTCTGATTTCAAGTTAGTGGTTTGAACATTCTGGAAATGTGAGTCAAATTATACCTCACATCCTTTAAATTGTGGGTGCCAGGAGTTGTGTTTAGCAATGGGACAGCTAACAGCTAGAGAAAATCAGTAGTGAGAGTTGGGTGTCTTACTGAGTATACATGAACTGTGGTTAACTGTATTTGGAACTGACTTTTGGGAGGTATAGGGAAGGTGAGCTGGAGTAATCTTTGAGTGTTGTAAGCAGTGCCTGATCGGTGTTATTGGTCAGAATTTAGAGCAACAAAAAGCTGATAGGAATGTAAATAATAAGAGCCTAAATTATGATGTTTCAACTGGAGTTAAGGAATCTATTGGGAAGTAGACTAAAGAGAATGTGCTTTACATTCTGGAAAATAATGTCTATACTTTTCTTTGTAGAGGGCTGAGATTGAGTGATAGATTAATAGAAGTTATTACAGATCACCATTTAAATGGTGACTCTTGTGTGAGACCTACTGGCTGCTTTTGCTAGATTTATAGAATCAGAAGTAAGAAGCAGAGCATAAAAATTTGAAAGACTTAAATTTTATTATGAAGAAAACTAAAGTTGAGGGCAGAGGAAGTGTGGTTTTTATAGGGATTAGAGGTTAGGAGGAGTTCAAGAGACACCTGGTACTTTGAAGCTAGACAAGAAGATATATGTCTCCAGGATATTTTAAAAATCAGCAATATTGCGTTGACAGGAGGCAAAAGGGTGGAAGGGTGTAAATGTTTTATTTAATAGAAACCCCCACTGCCCAATCAGAAGGAGCTGCCTGTTTCCCTGGGTCTCATTTCCCCATGGTCACTGTTTCAGGCATTCAGAAGCCACTGAAACTGCGGAGGAGTCCCAGCTCCTGCAGGAACTCCTGCCAAAGTTTGAAAACATCTACTTAATGCTTTTTGTTTGATTGATTTTTGTTTTGTTTTGTTTTTCATATGTGGGGGTGAAAATCGTACGAGTCGTGGTACCGCGGGAGTTTTCACCCAGATGTCTAAGGAGCTGTGAGAGCAAGCGCAGTTTCTCCGAGGCAGCTGTGCCTGTGGCTGTGGGAAAGAGGTCAAAGTCATACCAGCACCCCAAGCTGTTGGAGATGCCAGAGAAGTGGAATTTTTGCTGGATAAGCTGACAAGAAAAACCACAGAGAAGGACCAGATGAGCTACAGCCAGCAGGGTCATGGAAGGAGGCCATTCAAGCCCTGTGGAACTCACATCCCACTTCTGTGTGCACAGAATCTAGATCTGAGGCTTAATGGGTTTCAAGCTTGCTTTAGACCCTTTTATTCTCATAATCCTTCCTTTTGGAAAAAGAATGTTTAACATGTGTCTTTATACCTTAAGATTACGTAGCTTGTCTTTTTATATTAGAATAGAGTTTACCTTAAGTTTAAGAAGAAAGTTTAATTTTTGGAAAAGACTGGAACTCCTGAGATATTTGTGAAGAAATTAGTGCATTTCCAGTTGTGTGCAGTATATTGTTGTCACGTTTGGTGAAAATAGAAACCTGCCTTTGAGTGAGGATTAGGGAGAAGCATCAAGGCTGTAAAGCTGAAAAGGGATGGATGGCAATCATTAATCATGTCATGTCAACTTGACTGAATTAAAAGATACCCAAAAGATTAAAAATTCATACTTCTGAAAGGGTCATAGAAGTGTAACTTTGGGTACTATAATTGGTGACTGATATCTTTTCTGCTCCCTCTGTTCTTTTTCTCTGGTTACTACCTACCACAAAGTAAACATCTTTGCCATACTCTTTACCATGATGTTTTTTTCTTGAAGTGGGCTGAGCACTGACTGAATGCCATGAAGCCATGAGCCAAATTACATTACTTCTACTTTAAATGGTGATTTTTCAGTATGCTGTCTCAATGATAGAAAAGTTTAGTAACACTTTACAGTACTTTCAAATAATTTAATAATAATGAATATAACCATATAAAACACTATTAATATTTTCACTATCATACAGATATACTACCATACAGACATTTTAATATATTATGATAACTGAAGCAATGATAGATATCAGAGGTAATAGGGGATATATTTTTTTAAATCTACCAAAAATGCTATAAACATTTTAGCACTGGACACGTTAATACTTTTCTAGCTATGTATGAAAGATAGTCTCATTCTAATAGTTTTTGTTTTATGTAACCAAAAAAATTTGCAATGCTAATGAAAATTTTGATTCCATAAACTTATGATGGATTTTAAACTAAGCAAAAATTTAATCTTTTGTACTTTGAATATTGGCAAGCCTATTAAATAAAATATATCAGCATTTTTCCATTTTATAACCTGCTTCTAATTTTCTATATTACGCATTATACAAAACAAATAATAGTTATTAGGTGAATACATTAATATATTTGCAGAAAACTAAAGCCTGAGCCAACATTTAATTTCAGAGGCAGTTGATTCAATTATGTGCTCACTTTGGCAGCACGTATACCAATTGATCCAGCTACAGAAAATTCAATTTATTTTTTCCTCATTTTCTATATGTTTACCAGATTCATTGCTTATTCATTTTGAATCTCTGTTTAATACAAAGGGAACAATTTTTTTTTTTTTTTGTACCAGAGATGGAACTCACAACCTCACACTTTGCCAGGCAGGCACTGTGCCACTGAGCTAAACCCCTGGCCATAAAGGGAACAATTTGTTAGATATATTCAGACAGACAATTCAAAGTAGTTTCAACATCTAAACTTCATGACACACTAAAAGTATTTATTAACCTATTTATTTGTTCTTTATGGTTTTAAAAACCTTATTTTATACACTACATCAGTGTGTCTTATTTAAAATAAATTTATTTGTCTATTCTCCAGAACAATGTATTTCATTATTGTAACTACTTTGTTAGTCATAAGTGGAATGGGATAAGTAAAGAAATACTATTTTAAATCTTTCTGCAAATACATTAATCTTGTCAGAGTTATAACCACAACCCAACAAGTTTTACTCAACTTCTCCTTAATGGTATTTCCTTTTATCACTATAAAAGTCACAAGAAAATATAAGTTAAAAATATTTGGAAAAGTAACTTAGAGATGTATGTAATATGACTTAGATAAAAATTTTCAATCAGAAAACTTTAACTTGAATAATTCTACTTAAGAATTCATATTTCAAAATTACAAAATAACAATAAAAACATTAAAATATTTCATCAGCTAAACAATCTTCCACATCTGTGTTCTGAAACAAGACAGATTTGGGGAGTGAGTGACAAGTTATTTTCCTATGTCCTCCAAACATGAATCTGTCATGTTTATTCTTGTTCGATGAGACTGACAGCAGATGAGAAGAAATTAAATGGTGTTTTAGAAAAATTCAACAATAGCGACAGATGCCATATGGCTTTTTCTCCCAGAACTGTTTTCAGTGTATTTTAAAAAGAATATCAAGAACAAGATAAAGTGAAAGCTTACTTTAGAAGTGGTCTTTCATTTCAAATAAAAGTATAACCAATGCAATTTTCCACTCATTCATCCAATAAAATTAAGCAATAACATACAAAATAATAGAATAATGATATAAAATACAGGAGTAGTATAATAAAATTGAATTAAGAAAAAGTTAAACATACCCAGAAATAGACAGGAAGAATTAACCTATGTACCTGTCAATAATAAATCGTAAGCCACAATCAACTTTCTATATACATCTTAATTTAAATTTCTTTTTTAAAAAACAAGTTATTTAAAACACTCCAACATGTACTCTTCATTATAAGTATCATTTTTAATATTGTATAAAATATGATTATTCATAAAATAAATAATTATTGTTATGGTTACATAATTAAATTGTAAAAGAATGATTGAAAATTCATTTTATAAAATCTAAACTATATTGATATTGAGGTTAACAAACACAATTTAAAATTACATCTCACAATTCCTCCTGAATATATGCAAACTATCTTCCTAAATATGGAACAAAATATAGAATCCATATGCATTTCTCTATTATTTCCAAATGGTGCTTATTCCAGTGATGCAATGCTGTGTAAGGGTTTGAAAATCAATGTTTTTAACAATGTTATTTAGAATAAATTCCCAAAACATGATGACTTAAGTCTATATGGAAATAAATAAATATTTAATTAAATTAAATACCTATTAAATTAAATTAACCACCCCCAAAAAAGAACTAATGCAGTAGCATCATCTCAATTTGAAAAAAATAATTAAACCACCTAAAACATTTACAACGTTAGAGCTCACATTTTACTTAATGCCAAAAGTACTGAATGATTTTACTGTATCCCTTGCCTTGGGGAAATGGCAAGGATAGCTCTTCTCACAACTCTCATTCACCGTAGTAGTAGTTCCAGCCAAAACATTAAACAGCAGAAATGAAAGCAAGAGAAAAAATAAATATCTTCCTACTGCCAGACCATATGTAAATCTATGTATGAAATCCCAAAATATCTAGACAACAAGAGCAACATATAATCAACCAGTTTTGTAGTGCTATAAGATACAAGATAAAACAGAAATGAATTGTATTTATTTCTATAATGAATTTATGGACACATAATAAAAGGCCAATGCAAATACACGCTGATGAAAAACGCAGGTAGTACCAAACAGGTCATGTATGTGATGTACAATCAGGATACTAAAACTTTAAAGAAACAATAAAGTTAGTTTTTATGAGTAAAATTAAAATATTCCATATCACTGAACTCAAAGGAAAATATTATGATGTTATTTTTAAAATTGTATTATATGACATTTGTGAGATTCCAACCAAAAAATATTAATAGATATTGACACCCCAATTAGAGTATTTTATTGGAAAGATAAAGGAATAATGAATATAATCCCAAAGAAGCAAAAAGCGAGGGGATTCATATTGGTCAATTTTAATGTGTGGTATAGCTGGAGAAATTATGTGTCATAATGATATTATTAAAAAAGGACTATTTATATCTGTTTCAATAAGTAGCCAGAATGAAAAGGTTTTAGAGAGATTACTGGCATTTTGTCTTTTATTGTAGTAGCTTTCTTAATCACATTTTGTATCATTACACTTGCCTGTGAATCGGTAATGATCTCAAAAACCAATTAAAATAAACACATTTAAAATTTCCTTCATTTTTCATGAAAAGCTTTTAATTTATTTTCTTCAAATTAGGACTGAAGCAGATTCATAAGTCGCAAGCAGTTAATACCCTTCAAATCTCTTGTCCATTCATTTTACAAATTAGTTTTGGAATTGTCAGTCATTTATCTTGTAATTTTTGCAACCCAGATGCTAGAAATGACTGTTTAACTATATTTTACCTCATGATATCCTTCTTTTCCTTAAGTATCTTTTAATGTCTAGATACCAGTGGAGACCTGTGTTTGTGATACACTTATGGATGTGATTTTGTGCCTCTGTCAGTGTGGACATAACGTATGAGTGAGTGATGGGCTGAAACATTAGCAATTAGTGATGACCACTGACTGGATTCAATATCACTGGTGGTAAAAGAATGACAATGCATTCGTTGTGTTATTCCTTATTTATCTGTTCACCAGTTACTTCACTGACTGACAACTCCCTTATTAACAATTTAGTAAAGTTCATATACGAATGTAAGAATAAATCTTTGGTTCGTTCCACTATTGATTTGCTGTAAAAATATTAATTTTTTACTTTACATAGTACACTTGCCAAACAGAAAACAATTCAATTGTTTATTTTTTCTTTTTAAAAATATAATAGCAGTATGGATTTAAGAAAATGGTCAGTTTTGTGGTAATTAAACAAAACAAAGAGAAAACAAAATGTAAATTACTTTTCATAAATTAGGAATGACACTTCCATTCCAAATATTGGTCTATGGAAGGCTTAAAAAACTTATATATCATTTTTCAGTGTCAAAAATATGTTGGAACTGGATATATGTAAATTAACATATTTTATATATTTGCCATTTCATAATACACTGCATATCGATAATAAATTAAATAATGTGCTGACATGAAACACTTCTAATTTTTGCATTTTTAGTTATAAAGTATGTCACATTAAGAGCCTTAATCAGTTTCAGAAAAGTGTTAATCACATTGCTGTGTTTTAGAAAACCTTATTATACTTCCTGTCATGTGATTATGCCAACATAAAGTTAGTGCCATCAGTTTTTTAAAAAATTTTTATTTTAAAGAGAATAAAACCAAACACAACTAATCAGTAGCATAAAAGTTTTTGTAATATAAAATGTAGAGCTCATAAGAAACTGCAATTATAAATCAAGTTATAATCAAAGAAATCTACATTACATTTTACCCCTTTTATATTTTCTCCTTCCACATGCAGGTAATGTGTATATATACATTCACACACACACACACACACACACACACACACACACACACACACACACACCGTGTACCTTAATATCTTGGTTCATAAACACCTCTGTTTGCAAACAAAGTGTTCAGCAAAATTTCACTTTCTTTTGCAAGCTATGGATCAGGTAATAGAAATGACCACAGACATTTTCTTCACACAAACACAAACACATTTACCAGTCCCGATTTTATTTTAAAACTTATCATTTTAATGTACTTTTGTCATTTATATTATTTGTTATTAAATGAATCAATTTTTACTATATTTGAAGAGAATTATATCTGGGTAACTTTCTCCTTGAACATTAGAAAAATTTATAATTTATGCTGTCTCATCAAATATCTAATTTCACTGCAGTTAGCTGTTAAGCACAGTGGGAAAATAAATTGAGTTTTTA